CCTGCAAATCGGTATAAAGCACAAACAGAAAACAGTGCTTCATTATGAAACAAAGAAAACACCGGGAGTCATAAACAGAGTCTACCATTTATTACACATATTACATTCTTAAATAAAAATGCTCCACTTAACAGTTCTTGCATAGATATCTTACAATACCAATTTAGAAAAGAATTATGAAACAGACCGGTAACAAAAATAAATTTTCTTCTTCCTTAATAAAGAACATTACCATACTAACATCATATAATACAAATCAAATTTTAAACACTTTGTTACAGCAAAATATTGCAAGTTCAACTAAAAGAAATAAAAACAAATAAGATAAACTGAACAGAGGTGGTGGTGAAAGGAGAGACGAAGAGTAGGATGTAGGGTGAAGTTTACGATTATGATGTTGATATGAACCATATAAGAGTCAAGGAGCCCCTGTTGGTCAGCTTAAAGAAAAATTAATTTGATCCCTTAATTGATCAAAAATAAAAACCCTCATTGAAAAACAACTTGAACTGTTTTGCTCATGACTCCTATTTATTGCAAGTTTAAAATCCCTTTGTTCTTATAGCAGAAGGAATACTTTGATTAGTCTGAGAGACGATCAGAAACATCTTTTGAACTAAATGATATTTAGACAACCAGATTTTACTGTTTTTATCAGTTGATCACTTTGAAGTTTAGAGTATTTTTAAAAACCCCAAACTTATTCTAACAATATTTGAAAGATAAGTTGTATAAATGTCTATTTTTTGAGAAAAGGTTTGAAGGTTTGTCCACAGGTGACAACAGGATTAAGATCAGAACTGTTTTGGGGGATTCTTTGGTTTCCTGCATGTCATCCCTGTTTTTAGCCACAGTCTTAGACTTTAACATAATTAATACACAGAATAGTGAGTTTGTTGTATTTATCCCTTTGATGTGTCTTTTGTTTTGTTGTTAATTATATACTTTTGAGTATTAAACTGATCTGAATTATTGACATTATATAAAAAAAAAAGTTTCCAAATGATCGTTTGAATTATGAAGGGAAAAAAAGGGAAAAAGTTATGCCACCCATGTTTTTTTGGAGGTCAAACTAACAATATTTAAGGCAAGAGGAAAATCAATTCATTAGATTTATTAGTCTGAAAGAAAAAAAAAAGCTGAAGGGGTTAGAAATGGCTTTGGGACTACAAACCATGAGTCCACAAAATGGAGAAAACATTTCCAACAGAAATTACTGTGCACTGCAAAAAAAGTAAATCTAAGTTAGTTTATTTTTCTTAAAATAAGTGCATTTTTCTTGAATTAAGCAGGAAAGTGAGACACTTTGCCAATGGAATAAGACAATTTACATTTGAAATAAGAAAAAAAACAACTGCACTGTCTTATTTCATAATATCTAATTACCCTATTTAAGATTTAAAATACTAATCCCATTGGCAAATAATCTTATTTATCTACTCAAATTAAGGGTGAATACACAAATTTTAAGAAATCTCTACTTATTTTAAGTTTTTTAGTGTAGTGGTCTAAGGTGGTCCAGGTTTCTTTGCTGCTTTAGGATCATTTCAGGGTAATTTGCTGTTTTGATTTTACTATTAGTTTGCACTCTAGCAAAACATCCAGAAGAAACAGAACCTATGCAGCAAATCCAAAGTTAGACATCCTCTGACTGAAAATCTGATTGAGGTGTTTTGACATGACATTAAAAATGCAATGCAAAATTCAGGATATTTACAGTTATGATAAATGCTTGATGACAACAGTGGCAAAACCAGTTTAAACAGACAGGCTGGTTAGGGAAGCTTTTTATCCTTTGATAATTATAATCATCATTACAAAAAAGTGTATCTGGTGTTCAAATTGGCAGGGGAAAAAATGCTTTCCACAGCATAGATAGAAAAAAAAAAAAAAAAACTGTTTAACTTAGACATTTATAAAAGCAATTACATCCAAAAGACATTTTCGCCCATTTCAAAAAAAGAGATTGAACTGAAATTTCAAACACTGTAATATTCAATCAGATGTGTTAGAAACATAAGACAGACACGTTTGATACCAATTCCATTTCCATGTATTACGATGCAGAGCAACAGCCCAGGATGTAACACAAGCAGATGCTGGGTGAGAAAACTAGAGAAAAAGCACCTACAGGGATAAACGGTTGAATTTTGAAGGTTTGTTGTTGATTCAGAAAACCTTCTATGGTCTCACCAAAGAGCTTCAAAGCTCAAGAGGAAACTCCTCTGAGCAGCTGGATACATAAACATGCTGGGCCACAGAGGCTCTGATTGTTGAGGTTTGGGTGAAAAGGGTTTAAGGTTGGTAAAGTGAAATATACAGACAAGGTGGTTTAAATGTGTGAATCTCTTATATAAGGACACATGAAACATGGACAAACACAGAAGTTACAGAAGGAGTCACTTAGGGATGGCACAGATACCAAGAAAAATCAACCAAGTCACAGCAGGACTGTAAGTTTGGGTGGTTCAATGGACTCCCCCAGCGCAACAGCGAGGCGATTCACTGGAAGGCTAAATGGATACATCAGTCGAAACTGTTTAGACTAGACCGGCAGAAAAAGTTGGTGGCAAAGTGCATCCTCGCTGTGAATTAAATGTTAAGTGGATATTTGACATAGTGCTCAGACTATGCTAGCAGTGCGCGCACATGTCGAGTGCAAGAGCTAAGTATGACCACGTAGTGCAATGGTTGCAAGAACTAAAGCAGATCTAGGAAAATGTCTCAGAAGGTGCTGCGTCACGACATCAATAACTGCACGCAGAGAAGTCTGCGTGTTAGATCTTAGGCTATTTACAAAAATGCTGCCAGGAGTAATAATTCTCTTTAGGACAATGTGGTGAAATGCTGTGGAACAAAAAAAGCTGTTTCTCAGAGGAATATTTTACCTGGACCCAGAAAGGATGATTAAGGTCATTTTCTCAGAGTTTTAAACACGAGTCTAAACAGACATGAAGGTCTGATCCTAAACATCTGGTCTCTAATTATTTTGTTAGAGCATTTTACAGGCTGATTAAAACCTTAAGCCAAATTGCAGTTCTTCTCAGATTAGTAACGCTGGAGGGCAATTCATGAAGCAGTTCTGTTACACAAAGATACATTTATGTTTTCAGGAATACATTTGGATTTTTTAGTTCCCCATATCACAGTTATTTTGTGATTTTTGATCAATTATCATCTAAAACAAATTCATAGATATTTATTTAATTAAGAAGAGATAGGTTTATTGATAATACAAGATCAAATGCTTTGAAATAACTTTGAAAATGTGAAAGCCAAACTTCCTGTGGAAAATCTATAATCAAGAGCTTTCAGATAACTCTTTAAATCTGCTTTTATTTGAATTTCAGAATCTGAATAAATGAGAACAAGACATAATCTTCAGGATTGGCTCCATATGTTAATTTTTTTTATACCTCAATGTTTCCAAGTTGTTTGTATCGAAGATCTGTAAATGTGTTAGAAAAAAAAAAAAAAACTGGTATAATTTAGTGTATTAAGAGGTTGCAGACCCGTAATCTAGGAGATGTAGACTGTGACCCTTTCTTAATACAGCTGAAGCTTAAAGTGACGTACCTCAATTTCTAAATAATTGATAAATAAAAATTTGAAGGTAAAAGATTAAAATGTTCTGAGGAACCAATCAGCTAAGGTCTCTTTTGTCAGCACATATCATCAGAAGACATAAATTTAGTGTCACGTTTTAAATACAGTGAACAAAACAGGGGCCAGGATGAGTTCTACAGGGTCACCGGCCCCCGTTGGCCCCCCATCCAGAGCCGCCCCATGGCTGTTATTCTCCAAACACATCATATGATGAAATATCGTCTAAAACTATTATATAAAGATTCTCAAATAAAATCAAAGAAAGCGAGGGTGAAAAATATTGCAAATGTTTAACGGATTTTTTCCATTTTTACCAAATTATCATTTGGTTTGTTATGTTTGCAACGTGATAACGAGGTTAGTACAACAGAACTGCCTCAAGAATTCCCCAAGCACGGCCTTAAATGCTATTACACTTTTCCAAATAACATTCCCAATAAAGCAGGCCATGCATAAAGATAAACCTATTAACTTCAGATAAATAAGGTTCAAAACTTTCAGTAACAGAATAGGATTTTAATAACAACGCATTCAGACCATCCTTTAGAGTAAATACCTTTAGTGTATCATCAGATAAATTATTCTCCATTGACCTTAATCGATCTGTAAAAATGGTCAGCTATGACCACTCACATTGACATAGTATTAGATCCCACCTTAGCTCTACCTTTTAGATATTTTACTTCAAAAGACTGCAGTATGCTAAATGGATACCTTTAACTAAAGCTGCTGAAGCTGCTAGCGCCGCTACACTGCCCCCCTTCTAAGACCATGAAAACCTTATCTTACATTTATAAGCAATGATTTCAACTTCCGTTTACAGCAGATTGGAAGTGTTATGGAGAGTAAGAGCATGTCTGTAATTAAGATCTACTGGGATGGTCATGTAAGAAAAATAATCCTTTCCCTTCCATCTGTCTTTCGTTTTCTGCATCCCTGCCTCTAGGATCTTCTTACTAAATCTACTACATTCACAGCAGTTAACTTGCAAATATGCAAATCTTTGGGCAAAACTTGTAAAGTGTGCATTCAGCATTCCTGCAGCTGACAGTGCATGGAAAACTGCTGCGGACAGATAGGGAGAGGTGAGGATGGAGGGATGGAGGGAAACAAATTAGAATGGCACTTTTAATTGACAAAGATTAAACACCTGTTGGGACTTTGCAGAGAAATTCTCATTTATTTTATCTGTTATCAGAGAGATAAAGCAGAATATATTAATGCTTTTGACACTAATATGCAAAACAATCTGTAAAAGGCTGGTGACCTGTCCAGGGTGAACCCCGCCTCGCGCCCATTGACAGCTGGAGATAGGCAGCAGCACCCCTTGCGACCCCAGCAGGGATAAATGTGACGGAAAATGGATGCATGGATGGATTGAAAACAGATTTTTATTTTATTTAGTATTATATTTCTAGCGAAGTATCTTTCTGTATTAGGGTTTTTTTTGTGTGTTTGTGTTTAGAGGCTTTCTATCGGCTGCAGATCGGATCTATCCACTGGCTGTGGACAGCTGGAATCTGTGTGGCTTAAGGTTGCCCCCACTTTTTTTTTTTCTTTTTACCCAAATATGTTTCCCTGTGACCCAGAGCATTCTCATTAGCTCATCTGCAAGGAGTGCTGGGAGTTCTAATGCTAATCAGAGCTGTGCAACGGCAGCTAGCCGGCTCGAGCTTCACAGACGGCAGGCGACCCAGAGCCACACTGTGACAGGAAACCTGCTTTGACAGGCTAAGTCAGGAAGGTGATCAAATATAAAACCGTATCTGAAGTGACTCAGAAATCTGTCAAAGCTTGAGAAAATGTTCTATTTGTTTGTTTGCTATTTGGCAGAGCTGTAGTTTTAGTGGGGTCATTAGAATATGTTGTAACTTCATAGATATTAAAATGTCTAATTAAGTCAAGCCAATTAAAGCTAAAAATACCCCCCATTTTTAAAACTGTGAGGTGCATGACATGTGATAGGATTTCTCTATTTTTTTCTTTTTATTTGAAGTAGTAACCTCTGTGACATACATAAGTGGATAAAGTAAGAGCCACAACAAAATATAGTAAATACATCAATATTTTTTGGGGTATAAAAAAAGCAGAAATTCAACTCTGTTGCAAAGTTACACACTAGATAAGCAGTTGAAGCCACTGACAAATGGGTGATGTGTTCACAGTAAGCATGACGGGGTAAAAAAACAAAGAAACTGAACAAAAAACAGACATACACATTCAAGCCATTAAAAGTCTCACAAAAGTGCAACAATCTCCATTCGTCATGATTGTACATCCCGTAAAAAAAGCTTCGATCCACATCTCTATGCGTAACAGAAAAAAGAAACGGAAAGATTAAAAACTAAAAGATTTTGTTCTGACTAAATCGAAAACATGAGCTGCTTTTTCAGACATTCATGATAAAATATTTGCACCATCTTTCCAATCTTTGTTTTGTTGCAAAAAAAACAGTCCAGTTTCTTGTGCAGCTATATGCCACTAAAATTCAAATAATGCAGTGATGTTTTTTTTTACATGAGCTGCATTTTCATTTTAGTCTTTTTGTTAAGGAATTAATGGCTGCATGGTCATTTTTGTTTAATTTTTTCACCTCAAACTGGGTTAAATCAGAATTCTCTGGTTGTTGACATCTTGTGTAAAACCACAAAACTGAAAAAAAGGTGCACTTACTTTATACTCTGACTGTATCTAATAGACAGGAAGAGTTAGAGGAGAAAGCTGCCGTAAGATACACAGGACCGGTACGGAGGCGGCGCCCCGCTGATCTCCTCTGACCGAGGAGACTATGCCCATGGCTGAAGGGCAGTTCCATGCTGGAGGTTTTTGGTATTGATTGTTCAAAGCTGCACCATATACCCCCTTCTCTTCCTACCCTTGAGGGGGATTTTTTCACTGTTTCACCTAATGAATGCTGGCAAGGCCAACTGGCACAATGACTGGGCATGCTGGGATTTGAAATCCTCCACCAGCTTCAGGAACCTGCACCCTCACCCAACTGCATCAGCGAGCATTGGACTGTTTGCATGTGCTGCGGGGCATGTAGGTGTTGGTGGGCGGATGGAGCAGCCGTGAGAGCGTTGGCGTTGAAAGCTCGGATTGCAGGGCTTGTGTTGTTTTTCTTGCAACTACTGAGCAAAGAAAGCTTAAACTAAAGATTTGTATTTTCTCATATTCTTATGTATCCATAAAGAAATGTACATTCAGGTCAAAAAAAAAAAAAAAGTATAAGTGTGGCTCTGAAACCCCAGCAGGTGATCCGACAAATGCTACAGTTTTCCGACTGCAAAATTCATAATCTCATTGTTATTTATTTGGGTTTCTTAAATGCTAATTAAATGTTTCAAAAGCAGATAATTCTGCATAATTTAGGAGGAAATTTACTAAATTATGCTTTGACCACCGAGTTATGATAGAGAAACACTTGTGGATTTAACTGTTTGATAAAAAGCATACTTTATAGGCAGACTTAACTAATAGATTGTTAAAATTTCAGGCTCTAAGTGAAAGCGCAGAGATTTTTAAGTGAGGTTCTGTTAAAAAGCTTGGGTCTCATACTCAAATCAGAGGTCGGTTTCTTGTAACTGGATGTCTCCCCTACTCTACACACCTGAATCGAATGGCTAAAATAGCTCTCTAGCAGTAGTCAAGCTTTGCTAATGAGCTCATAGCAGAGTCCAGTGAGGTGAAGCAGAAATGCTTCTGGAATTTACAGGATTCAAATCCTTAAGGATTTTAAATGAGAACCTTGTGTTAAAAGGTTCAAATGATTCTTGTATAATTTCTCTGACCGGTGAGTAGAAGCCAGAAGCGTGTCCGAGAAGAAAAACGCCGACGTGGCTTAAAAAAATTATTTTTACTCCTTAAAATCACTTTTATATTTGCAGTGGGTGGTTAGCTATATATTCATATTAAAATATGAAAATACTTTGTTTAGTGATTTTTGTTATCCTACCTTAACTTTAAGTTACTTATTTCAGAAAATTGTAACAATCTGCATCCATGCGTCACACAGGATGATCATTGGTACCGTTTCGCCTTGGTGATTGGAGCGGGAAAGGGATGGTATAAGTCCAATTTTATCTGTTCTCTGGGATTAATTTAGCACTCCAAGCTCTGGGCTCAAGTAATCTGAGTTTATTCTAAGCGAAGAAACCAAGAGAGATAATTACTGAAGATAATTCCTTATAATCTTCGAACAAAACCTCACTTAAAATCATGCAGCAATTAACGACAGCTAAAAAATGAAATTTTTAACTTATTTCAATTCTTTACAGCTACTTGATTTGTACTAAATGAAGTTTTAATGATCTTCAGATGTATCCTCAGAGAAATTAACTGGTTATAGGTTGTTTTTTTTTATGTTATTCTTGATCATTTATTAGTTGAACTAGCTACTAAAACAATTGTACTGCTACTGTGGAAAATGTTAAGTTTAGTTTTGAGTTTCTGAATGATTGCTGCTCAAAATTTTTTTTGTTAAATCAAACCTGCAGTTGAGATTTAAAAAAAATAATTTTATATTTCTGTTGACATTTGGGGCTGCTGTTTTAAGAGACTCTCCCATGATCAATAAGCCTTTTTACAATATTTGAAAGAAGCAGCTGTTCTATTGCTTCTGGCTATAAATCCCACCATGCAGGATTCTTCAGTATTTCCACCTTTGTCGTTCCCCCTCCCGATAAAAAACACCGGCTGATACAGTTTGTTGCAATCAACGATGCAATCCGAGTCCTGGAGTACAATAAGTGATTAAATATGAGGCGCAAACTGTAGCGAGGGTTTCTGTGGGTGATTGTTGGAGCTGAGAACAAGCCGATTTCTCACTTCAAAGGATTTGGAATTGTTACCTCCAGCCGAGAGCTAAGATAGTCTTCCACTAAACAACAGTTGCTAAATTCCTACTGTGAAAAAAGATTTGGGAACAGAACATATAATTCCACAAAGAGAGTGTGTGTGGGTGTGTGTGTATCTGTCTGTGTTCATGAGCTGCAGTCGGTGTGTGTTTGCAATAAAGCCTGCCATGCTGTGTTTTGTTTTCCAACTCTTTTCATTAGTTCAGTAATTATTTTTCCATTTCTTATTAGTCTTATCATGAGAGGAGCCAGGAGCGTAGGAACTGCAGCGTGTTTGCGTGTGTTAACCAAGTATGTGTGCTTGTTCTGTATGCAAAGTGTAAAGAGAGAAAAAGCTGTTTTTGTGTTGTATTTTTAAAAGTCTTTTATGATTTTTTTTTATTGTGTTCCATTTTTCTTATTTTAGGCTGTAGAAAAAAAAGCACAGAGAACATAAAAAAGTAAGTGCAGTTAATGGATAAAAAACAGGCAAAGTAGTCGGGTCTGTTTGACCAGTTCTGTTCAGAACCAACTTGCGAATGTTGGTTGGCATCTTAAGTTCCATGTGAGTCAGCAAGGAGCAGCTCTTTAAGCCTCAGTTCTTGCCCTGCAGTGCTGCCTGGAAGATGGTTCCTCTGAGTTGGTGAAAACACACACGGATGACTTTCAGAATAAAAGAAATGACTCATGAATAGAAAAGGTTTGCCAGTTTTTAAGTCAGTCCACCCTCTTAGAACACAGGAGGTCATCCTGGGGGTTTGATTTTTAGCTGCATTGGGTTGCAGGGCAAAAAAGCGGCAGAGAAAACCTAAGATCTCTCTGCCTTTTGCTTTAATTTCAGTCCAAACACAACATACATCCTTTACTCTGAGCTGATACAGGTTTTTTTTCCCCATCCATTGGTTGCTCAGTCTGCAGAGTCAGTGCATATGGGGATAAAAACCCAAGAACGCTCTCCTTCGCTCCATACACATTCTGTTGAAGTCATCCCAGATTCTTAGTATTTCCTGTAAAATGTCAGTGAGCGCTGAATTTTCTCGAAGAGAAAAAAGCGCAAAAGTGTCATTCGTGTTTTTTTTTGTTTTTTTTTTTTTAATAATAAGAAGTATTATTGTTTTTTAAGTACAAAAAAAAGGAAGAAAGTGTCGCTGCGCATTTCTGTTGGATGGCCTGCGGAGGCGGCAGGCGTCTCGGTGAAGCTGAGAGATGCAAACTCCCTCTGGAGGAGAGCCTGAGAGCTGCAGCAGCATCTGCTGACCGATTTCCCACTGGCGCTCTGAAACGCACAGAAATCTGAGCCCCATTCGGGCGTCGATTGTCAGTCTCGATCCGCATGGTGTCTCTCTCACAGACGTTGCGTTGTTGTTGTTTTCTTCACATAGATTACAGAAGCTGAGTGCGGCAGATGATATTTCCTTATGTTTCATGTAGAAAAACAGCAAGAAAAAAGTTGAGTATTGGAAAGCACTGACTAAGTGAATATTTAAGAGTTTCCCCACTGGACTATTTCCTCACCAAAATGACTCAATAATGTAAACTGTTGAATACACAGAAAAAAAAAAGAAAATAAGGCGGCGCAGTGTTTCATCAAGCAATTTAAGCATGGTTTGGCAGTGTCCAAGACCCCCAAGCTGCATGAGAGCAGTGAGGGTTCACCGGGATGATGTAATAGAAGACGGATGTGCGAAGTGTGTACTACTGCAAAATGTGAATGTGTAATATCAAAGAAAAACAACAATCTAGCTACTCTTCTTCTCCTCCATTTCCCTCTTCTCCGATGATTTCATGAAGCTTTCTGAACGGTTTGTAGCTTCTCTGTCCATCCTTCTCTCTCCTGTCACACCTCCTCCACCAGTGGTCTTCCTCCTCCAGTCCTCTCCTGTTTGACCTAAATGTGCCTCTTCATGTGCAGAGCCAGGTGGTCCGATCGAGAGAAACACCTGCAGAATGAGGAAGAGAAAACAGAATGAGAAACCCTGCGTAAAGCATAGAAATATAGGAAGTACTGGAGTAAGGACAGAGAAGAATCATCCAATGAGGATTGAGCAGCAACCAATCTGACCTTTTTTAACTAAAAAATATTGATTTAAATTAAATTAGAAATGTATTTAGCCCAGAAGTCTGCTGATCAATGCCGAAAGATGGATTTTGGCTCAACCTGTGCCAAATGCCAGACCCTCTTAATACCCATTGGTACAGCATCATTTTAGCCAATTTTCATCCAAGGCTTCATAAGCTTTCTGACAACTCTATGCATTTTACCAAACACAGTTCTGTAAAATGGTAAATGTACTTATATAGCGCCTTTTCTCAAGTCAGGAGACTAGACCAAAGCGCTTTACACTACATTCATTCACCCATTCACACACACACACACACTGATGGTGGCAAGCTACATTGTAGCCACAGCTGCCCTGGGGCTCACTGACAGAAGCGGGGCTGCCGTACACTGGCGCCACCGGGCCCTCTGACCACCATCAGTAGACAATGCAGGTGAAGTGTCTTGCCCAAGGACACAACGACACTGAAAGTCAGAGCCGGGGCTTGAACCGTCAACCCTTCGATTTCAGGGCAGACTCCTACATCCAACGCCACTGTCGCCCCATAACTCGGATTTGTAAAGAATGCTCTCAGATCGTTGAGCCCTAAGATGTTTTGTAATATCTATTTACCTATAGTGCCTCGGTGCCTTTCATACGTTCAGTGAAAATGTATAATAGCCAAAGGATAGAAGTGCAGTTTTGTTAAACTATGGTGCAACTATAGTGGCTGGTTTGTTTCTCACTCCAGCATATGTAGACCCTTCTGAGGCTGTGGGCACAGTGATCTACCCCGGTAATAATCCTCACTGCCTGGTCTAATGGACAACCCCATCGCATACCTTCTCACTTCTTTTTACAAGGAAAAATATAAGGAAACCATAGATTTAGCCCATCTATTATCTCTCCATGTTGCAGAAGCTTCTTTTACATAAAAAACAAACAGATTTTGACAAAATTTTTAACTGTATTGTTTTAATATTGACAAAAAACTCAACTACTTTGAGTAATGAAACTTACTTTTAGAGTAACTAGTTTTTAAACACCAAAATGCTTTCTAAAATAGACACTAATATCTGCATTATAGAATAATTGTAGAATATGAATTCCTATTCATTTTAATGCTAAACTACTTTAAAATTTCAGTAAGAGCTTTGCACTTACAGTGAATATAGTCTACGGCCAAAAAGTAAAAATATACCGTTGATTTTTATTGAAAAGTAATTTTAGATCCAGTCAAAGATGGTTCTTATTTAAATAAAAAAACTAAAAAATTTTGGAGCTGAAACTGGGAGTAGAACGGGCAAATCTGTAATACAAACAAGTATGAAGATGATCGTCCTGTCGTTTTAAAACTACTATATTTGAACTGTCTTGCTTCATTATTTTACACAAACTACTCCAAGATCTAATGACAAGTAAAGTCGGATTCAGCCTCAGTGATTTCCTAAACATGACTCAATAATAGCTGTAAATCACAGTCAGACCTCCACAGCTCTGCAATCAGGCTCTCCAGTAAAATACAACTGCAGAGACTAATTAGATATGCACATTTAATACGAACGCTAACCCGGACAGGCAGATACTCCTCTCTCATGCTCAACCCTTTAAATGCAGTGCTGACTGCATTCGATGATATAAATCCATGTGCTTTTTATTTTAGTAGATTTACAAAGTCACATGCACCTCAGTTACATACAAAACAGCCACAATAATATTCAACACCAGTGATTTAACTAAAGGAGAAGTGCAACTGAGTGTGGGGGAGACCAGAGTGAGGAATTACAAATTCAATTTGCCAGAGGCTTAATTCATTTTTAATTAGTCGATCCTATTCTTTGTCTTTTTTGCCCATTTGTTCTTGTGTTTAGAGCTAGTTGATGTTCAGTCCATTTATGAGTAGACAAATAGATAAATACACAAAAGGAAAATTAATAGTTTAAAGCCTGGCTCTGCTGTGAATAATGTGCACCATTTTAGCCTTCAGATACTGCAAAGCAGCCTCAATTAAAACACTCCAGTACCACTGGGTGTCTGTTCTCACTGAGCTGCTCCAACTAAGACAGACTCCTTGCATCCAACAATTTGTATTGCTCTTGCTAATGCATGGCTTTTACCCAGCATCTTCTTTATGGAAACTGATCCAATGAAGCTCTCCACTCATTGCAGCAGAGTTATACTCTTCAGCATCAACTTGCCCCGGCTCTATGACTTTATGCAGCCTACCACTTCATGGCTGACTTGTTGTCATTCCTAATCCCCCGATCTGACATAACTTCACTCACTAGAATATTTAGTAGAAAAAAGTCCATACCTGTAACTCTTGCACAGGTGGCTCCCTGTCACTGTGCCTTGTTAAAATCTACTGATCTTCTGAAAGACACCGCTTCTAGAAGCAATCTGCACACCTGATGCTGAATCTCATACAGCTCTAGTCAGTGCTTGGAGTAAAGGCATATTGATGATGCTGTTACTTTACCTACAATGCAACACAGCAAACTTGATCAATTAATGCAACTCTTAAGAGCACACCCTCTGCTAAACAGAGCATGCTTTTATTAGATCAGATTTGTTTTGCTTCTGGGCATGGAAAGCATGGGTGCTGAGATGGAGACATATTTGGCTTTGATTTCCTAAGAAGGCGTAAAGTGGGCGGATGTTGACCACACTGACTGAAACCAACAGAGACAGAATGTCTGGACAGTCCTCCAAAATTCAACTAATGCAATTCTGATCCAATGAAGCTCCTAAACCCTTCCACAACAATGATTTGGATGCCAAGTTTATCATGAAATTACTCTTAACTTCTGTTATACCTAACTCCCAATCCTAAAATACTGTTGTTCTTTACTTTTATTATCATTCATATACAGGAAGTACAGTCAACGCTGGTCTAAGGTGAGGCTCCTGTTTAACTTTAGCAGAAAGTCTATTTTAGTTCTACTATATTACATAAAAAGTATCACTTAGTGTCAAACCTGCTTTACAGAATGTTGAAGCATGTTAAGGTGGATTTATTTATTATCATAAGCCCCATTTAAACTACCTTTTTGAAGCCGTGCCGAGATCGGCCCGAGAATGGTAACCGAGATAACTGTTGAGTGTAAAAGGGATGCCAAACTGAACCGGGCCGTGCAAGACACGACCAAACCACGCTAAACTAATACTAGCTCAACAGCAGGGCTCAGCGCGGTTCACCTCTGGCTCGGTTCTCAGATAACAGAGTGCATGAGCAGACCGGGTCATCTCCTTACAGTCAGCCTGAAATTTCAGACATTCATAAAAATACTAGATTCCCTACGGTGTCACATGATTTCCAGTGTTGATTCTGCTTAGTAGTGTGATGAAGCTCAACTCCTGTCATTATTTCCTGCATCTGTAAACCATGATTAGACTACCAAAAGCTGACTCTGTCAAGTAAATCCACCAAAGGCTGCCTTCTCTGCCTGACTGTCCACAAACAACGAAATATCACAACTAAAAACAAACTTCCTGAATGTTACAGGCGCCGCCATGTTGAGTTGCTTGACTCCCTCAACAGAGCATAACTACCATAGATCGTCACCAGGAGGTGAGGAACCGTGCAGGCGTAATGTGTAAATGGTCCTAAGGAACCAAGCTGGGCACAGTTAACTGATCCAAACTCGGTCCGAACTCGGCACGGATTGGTTTTCAGAGGGTAGTGTAGTGTAGGGTAGTGTAGTAAACTTTTTTCATTTGAGAATTAAACTCAAAACCACATCTAAAGTTGGGATAATAGGAAAGTCATCCCCATTCATTAACATTTTAGTTAATAAAAAGTGACTGCTGGACTTTGCATAATAATTGGTTAATTTAAGGATGCAGTAACTAAGTTACTAGGCAGAGTGGGGGTTGTTGCAAAACGTCACTCCCACTAAACACCGTGGCCAACCGTGTCCAGTTACGGGCCCGGCTGTGGTAACAGCAACTTCAAGAATTTCCGTCCATCCATCCATTTTCAGACACGCTTAATCCCAATTGGGGTTGCGAGGGGTGCTGGTGCATACCTCCTGCTGTCTACGGGCGAGAGGCGGGGTACACCCTGGACAGGTTGCCAGTCCATAGCAGGGCAACACAGAGACAAACAGGACAAACAACCATTCACACACACAATCACACCTAAGGGGACTTTAGAGAAGCTAATTAACCTAATAGTCATGTTTTTGGACTGTGGGAGAAAGCCGGGGTACCCGGATAATACCCACGCATGCTCAGGGAGAACATGCAAACTCCATGTGGAAAGACCCCGGGCCGGGAATTGAACTCAATTCGAACAGCAATTTCAACAACAGAAATATCATTAAAATTAATCTGTTTCCTCTTCTTTCTGTTTTGTAAATCCCTTTATTGTCCCAAAATGGGAAAATGTGTTCTCTGCATTTTAACCCATCCCCTTAGGGAGCAGTGGGCTGCCATTGTGTGGCGGACGGGGAGCAATAAGGGGTGAAGGGTTTTGCTCAGGAACCGGGTACTTGCAATCTTCCCAGAGCACAAGTGCACTGCTCTAACCCACTAGGCCAACACTCAAAACTTTAATGTCAGAAGTGGGATTCCAACCCACGCCTCCATTCGGAGACCAGAAATCCCACATTCACAGGAAGGAGTGATACTTGAGTCTGGTGCATTAGACCGCTCGGCCATCCTGACAACTTTTTTGCCATTTTGTGCAGACTAGATAAGTTGGCCTAAGTTGGTGGGTTGAAATTCACCAGAACTCTTTCCAGTCTGGTGCCTGACTTTTTGGCCTGTAAAATTCCTGGGTTTAATCCAGGGGGCCTCTGTTCTCGCACATCATCATGAATAACCACTTGACACATGCCATACTGCTGAGTAATCTTTAACACAACCACAAAAAAAACCCAAACGACTAGTTACCGCCA